GCTGTATAGACACCCCTTTGACTAGATATTTATAATATTATCAGGTTGGCTGTATAGACACTCCTTTGACTAGATACATATAACATTAACAGGTAAGCTGTATAGACACTCCTTTGACTAGATAATATTATAAATATCTAGTCAAAGGGGTGTCTATACTGCTTACCTGTTAATGTTATATATATCTAGTCAATGGAGTGTCTACACAGCATACCTGTTAATGTTATATGTATCTAGTCAAAGGATTGTCTATACAGCTTACCTGTTTATATTATATATATCTAGTCAATGGAGTGTCTATACATATAACATTAACAGGTATGCTGTATAGACACTCCATTGACTAGATATATATAATATAAACAGGTAAGCTGTATAGACACTCCTTTGACTAGATACATATAACATTAACAGGTATGCTGTATAGACACTCCATTGGCTAGATATATATAACATTAACAGGTTAGCTGTATAGACACTCCTTTGACTAGATACATATAACATTAACAGGATTGCCTGTACAGCTTACCTGTTAATGTTAAATATATCTAGTCAAAGGAGTGTCTGTACTGCTTACCTGTTAATGTTATATATATCTAGTCAATGGAGTGTCTATACATATAACATTAACAGGTATGCTGTAGAGACACTCCATTGGCTAGATATATATAACATTAACAGGTAAGCTTTATAGACAATCCTTTGACTAGATACATATAACATTAACAGGTATGATGTATAGACACTCCATTGACTAGGTATATATAACATTAACAGGTAAGCTGTACAGACACTCCTTTGACTAGATATATATAACATAACCAGGTAAGCGGTATAGACAATCCATTGACTAGATGTATATGACATTAACAGGTAAGCTGTATAGACACTCCTTTGACTATTTATATATAACATTAACAGGTAAGCTGTATAGACACTCCATTGACTAGGTAAACTGTATAGACACTCCTTTGACTAGATACATATAACATTAACAGGTCAGCTGTATAGACACTCCATTGACTAGATATATATAATATTAACAGGTAAGCTGTATAGAGACTCCTTTGACTAGATACATATAACATTAACAGGTCAGCTGTATAGACACTCCATTGACTAGATATATATAATATTTACAGGTAAGCTGTATAGACAATCCATTGACTAGATGTATATAACATTAACAAGTATGCTGTATAGACATTCCTTTGACTAGATACATGTAACATTAACAGGTATGCTGTATAGACACTCCATTGACTAGATATATATGACAATCCATTGACTAGATGTATTTGACATTAACAGGTAAGCTGTACAGACACTCCTTTGACTAGATGTATTTGATATTAACTTGACTAGATATATATAATAGTAACAGGTTAGCTGTATAGACACTTAACAGGTATGCTGTATAGACACTCCATTGACTAGATATATATAACACATACATGTAAACTGTATAGACTATAGACATTCCTTTGACTAGATAAATGTAACATTAACAGGTATGCTGTATAGACACTACATTGACTAGATATATATAACACATATATGTAAACTGTATAGACACTCCTTTGCCTAGATATATATAACATTAACGGGTAAGCTGTATAGACACTACATTGACTAGATATATATAATATTAACAGGTAAGTTGTATAGACACTCCTTTGACTAGATGTATTTGATATTAACTTGACTAGATATATATAATATTTACAGGTAAGCTGTATAGACACCCCTTTGACTAGATATATATAATATTATCAGGTTAGCTGTATAGACACCCCTTTGACTAGAAATATATAATATTAACAGGTAAGCTGTACAGACACTCCTTTGACTAGATGTATATGACATTAACAGGTAAGCGGTATAGACAATCCATTGACTAGATATATTTAACTTTAACAGGTAAGCTGTTTAGACAATCCTTTGACTAGATATATATAATATTACCAGGTTAGCTGTATAGCCACTCCTTTGACTAGATACATATAACATTAACAGGCAAGCTGTATAGACAATCCATTAACTAGATGTATATAACATTAACAGGTAAGCCGTATAGACAATCCATTGACTAGATATATTTAACTTTAACAGGTAAGCTGTTTAGACAATCCTTTTACTAGATATATATAACATTAACAGGAAAGCTGCATAGACACTCCTTTGACTAGATGTATATAACATTAACAGGTAAGCTGTATAGACACCCCTTTGACTAGATATATATAATATTAACAGGTTAGCTGTATAGACACTCCTTTGACTAGATACATAAAACATTAACAGGTATGCTGTATAGACACTCCATTGACTAGGTATATATAACATTAACAGGTAAGCTGTATAGACACTCCTTTGACTAGATGTATATGACATTAACAGGTAAGCGGTATAGACAATCCTTTGACTATTTATATATAACATTAACAGGTAAGCTTTATAGACAATCCATTTACTAGATGTATATGACATTAACAGGTAAGCTGTATAGACAATCCTTTGACTATTTATATATAACATAAACAGGTAATCTGTATAGACACACCATTGACTAGATATATATAATATTTACAGGTAAGCTGTATAGGCACTCTTTTGACTAAATATATATAACACATACAGGTAAGCTGTATAGACACTCCTTTGACTAGATGTAATTAACATTAACAGGTAAGCTGGACAGGCAATCCTTTGACTAGATATATATAACATTAACAGGTAAGCTGTATAGACACTCCTTTGACTAGATATATTTAACATTAACAGGTAAGCTGTACAGGCAATCCTTTGACTAGATATATATAACACATACATGTAAACTGTATAGACACTCCTTTGACTAGATGTATATAACATTAACAGGTAAGCTGTACAGGCAATCCTTTGACTAGATATATATAACATTAACAGGTAAGCTGTATAGACACTCCTTTGACTAGATGTATTTGATATTAACAGGTAAGCTGCTTTATGGGCAATCCTTTGACTAGATGTAATGAATAATCAAACATTTACAAAGGACGTGCTTCAACAATAGTAGTTGCAACAGAAAACGGAACCAACAACAACATGCGTCATTTGAAACGGAGCATTAGAAAATAGAGGTACAAACATTGATAGACAGCTGCATGATCCAAGGAACGTCATCGTAAAAGAGTTGTAAGAACAATCCAGACTTAGACAAACATACCGACAATGGTTTGGTGACGACATACTAATACACATGTTCTACAAAATGTTGTCTGCCGGTCGATAGGATTGATTCTTAAGCCTAATTCCCGAGTTTCGAGGCGATACAACATATACGAATATAAGACATACTGCAATTTTGTTAGTTGAAACAGACAGACATTTTCGTCACCACTTAGAAAAGATTAACAGTTTACAAATGCTACTTACAGGACACACATAGAATATAAGTATAATTAGCTTCATTTCATTTTCATTATAGCTCCTATAAACAACCGGAAGTGTGAGGGAAAATAGCAAAGAATGTAAAATTTTCCTCTTTAGTGTTCCTTTGTTTAATTTTGCGTCCACACAAATCGCCCCCCCCCCCCCACTTTCATTTGCCCACCCCCATGGTCACTACTAACAAACTGAAGAAGCGTGAAGCCTGTTTTTATATCCAACCTTTACCATCTTTATTGATATAATTATCTGTATTAAGTTTCATTCTTCTCTTGTTGCGTGTCCTTGTGCTATCTTACACTCTAATACACAAAGTGACTTATGTGCGACTTTTTGACAATAGTGTCAACTTCCCGAACGTATCTCATCGATTTCCTTCATCTTTCGAAACTAGTTGCATCTGAAGCTAGGAGTAAAACTCATGGGTTCTTACTGAAATTGTCACCCGGCTGAAATGATTGTAAACATATTTTCTCACACGTTTATTATTGAGATAAAGTGGGAAATTAAAACACAATTCAGAATATTGTGATTTCCCCCTCACGAGGCACTCATTGCACGGGTATAGAAAAAGTTTTCACATTAACAAAACTATCTTTTAAGTATTATGATAAAATGATAAACACAGACTGACCAGAATGATGAAAAGGTGCATTGTTAACATGGATTGATAGAAAAGACAGACGAAAGGAAATATCTCAAATGATACAAAAGAGAAGCGGATCAGTTGGTTTCTTCATTGTCAACATCAATAATTCAACATTTTAATTGATAAAATAAGAATATTTGACAAACGACATTAAGGCACGTCTAACAAGATGTAAGACGTGTCAAATATAAAAAGACAACCCACTTAAGTAAAAAAGATATACTGTTTTAATGTGATATATAAATTCATTAGTAACGAAGTGATACACAGCATAAATATAGACAAAGGAACATCAATGTTAGGAGGTAAATCTGTTCAACAACAACAAAAACTTAAGAAAAACGGAAAACAAAATACAATTGATATTACGTTAAACATACTCGAAATAACATACAGCCTGTATAGCGACAAATAACGTTTTGTTAAAAACTCTTGTGGAACATTGTGGAAGTAAGATAAAATAGATATAACGAAAGCTATTAAGGTCTCATAAGTAATAATGGCAGTATGATATAATATGGTAAGTTGATCCAAACTAACAAACATCCCATGAAAGACCACTAAGCTATATACACGACTGCACGTTTTACATACCAGGTATTAGGACATTAAGGTCAGTTTAATAGCTGTAATGTCTTGATACATCAACATAAGTATAAAAATAAGTAACTTTAAAAATCCCCTTTTTAGTTGCATGGTCAATATGGTGGAAATACAAATTTGCTTGAAACAAGTTTGTTTATCAAGGACTAAGATTGGTAGATTGTTAGAATTCGAGTGGTCCGTGGGCTTGCTGGGTGGTTGGCTCCTGGACAATGATATCGATATCAGAGACAAACATTCGACAGTGCGCAGGTATACAATAGTACGGTATTGATACAAACGCGTCACCTGCAGCCTTCCACATATTGTATGACGGATATCTACCTTACAGCACGCACCCAGCAGCTCTCTGCAACAGTGACAGCTGCCAAAGGTCTGCCTGTATAACTGGGTACGTGTTTCCATTTGGACGTGGTATCCACTTACTCAATATGACTCTAACACTTCGTAGTCAGGCATCAATGGTGGAGCTGTAACTGAAGGATTGAATTTGTGGGCCAGGTTACAGAAAAAAGAACGTTGAAATACCCCAGAAAGTAACTTAAATTATATGGGAACTATGCCTATTGTAAGGGCAGTGTGTTCATACGGCTGAATAAGTAGTTATTTGTTACTTTGGAATATCAGAAACTGTCAGAAACAAAAGGTAAGTTATTTGATATGATATGACATTATGCCTGATTTCAAAATGAATAACAAAGATACAAGGAATGTTGAATATGTTTTTAACGAAAGGAAATAATGTTCTAATATGATAAGTTTGTCACTACATCAAAGGTTAATTCACAAGTATTTCGGATGTTTTTTTTAATTGTCAATTTGAATTCTGATGGATGATTTCCTTTACTTTTTCCAAACACAAATCTTTATTTTGAGTTAAATATGAAAAATCTTGTTTATTTTACTACGAGCACCAGGACACTATAGTAATATTCATATTGCTTTGGCCATCGCGTAATAATTACCAACTGAGGCCATATGATAAACCCTTAGACCCACAGTACAGTTATATAGGTGTCAAGTGTTTATTTAACCGTGTTGACAACAAAACAGTGTCTTATTGGAGATCTTAAGTTAATACACTTCATTTAAATGTGAATTCAGGACCATGGCAGATTTTAATTGTGCAGCAGTTCTCTGTTAGAAAGGGTCTTACAGAAACTACAAATATTAATACGTCGTTAATGGTGTTTTCAAACAGATCCTTCAAGATGTCCCTAAATCTTAAGAACAAACATTGGTAATATAATTGAATATTGATTTATATCTTCTGGACCAATTATCATTTGGCTTTCAATAATGGTAATATTCATAATCATTTCTTCAAATATAGTTGTTAATCAGATTGTTTCACGAATATTTTTTTCTTATATTCTAAACTCGATGCCAACTTTTACAAACATAAGTTAGTGTATCTGAGTTAAACCTTGTTGTAATGCCGCTAGATTGTTGGCGTTATGAATGGGTTTCGCAATTTACAAAGGGAGACGATTCGAGAAAATTATAATAGAATATGATTAAAATATTATTTTTGTAAATAAAAGACACTGTCATTTTGTAAAAAAATAGAAATAACTATATACAAGTTAATTGTTAAGAGAATATCATCGAACTGCTTAATTAAATATTCCTATAATAAACTTGTTAGATTGCCAAAAGCGTATCACTAAGCATTATTTTATCCTGAGTATGAATTTTTCCTTTTTTTAAATATGGCTGTGACATAAGGGTGAAGACCATTTAGTCCCCGGTGAAGGGCTAAGGCCTGAAAACTTGGATCTACATTGACTGTTGATATGTATCTTGTTACATTCTCTGATTAACATGTCCTTAGTATATCTCTAAATTAACATAAGTGTACATGTCGCGAGAAACAAATAGTCACTTTGACTCTCGAGGAGATACTATCACTATTACAAGTTGCATGCAGATGATGACACTATTTTCTTTAACCATTTTCTTTTAATTATTTTACGCGAAATACATCTCACAGTTGTGTGTTTTATAGACTTTCAGTCCTGATGTTCTTTTCCACGGTGCTCAACCGAAAATTCAAAAATTAACTTTTTATCGTATACGATATAGTTAACTGTCTGATTGCTTTTACATGACGGTCCTCGATGTGAACCGTTTGCTTGGTAAGTGCTTTCAATAATCAATTTGCAATAATCGAAGCGTGTGGGCTTGAAAAATAATCAAAAACATGAAATAAACATCAATATATGGTTAAACTTTAGTTTGTGTGGGGGTTCATTATACATTTTCCTTTGTTTTGGTGTCACCTCAGTTCCTGGTGTTGTCCTACCTGTTTATGTCCCCTCAGTGCCCTGTGTTGTCCTTCCTTTTGTATAAGTGTCACCTTAGTTCATGTTATTGTTTCCTTTTGATTTTATGTCTCCTCGGCTCCTGTTGTTGTCTGTCACTTTTTTATGTCACCTCAGTGTCTCTTGTTGTCCTTCAGTTTGTTTTATGTCACCTCAGTGCCTGTTGTTGTCTTTCCTTTTGTTTTGTTGTCTCCTGAGTTCTATTGTTGTCTTTCCGTTTGTTTTGTTAACAAAACGTATCATCTATAGTTCAAATACTGTCTTTGGTTGAACACGTGGTAGAATTTGTTTTGTTACCTTCGAAACAGTTATAATAATATTTAGATAACGAAAGAAAGTTTTCCAAAGAATTATAAATTGAAACCATAATTCAGATTTCAAAGTAAGTTTCAAACTTTGCTTTAATCTTGCTAGAAATACAGTTCCGCGAACGTTAATTAAAGATGAATTTAACTCGTCTAACCTGTCTATAAGTCTGCCTGGCTGCATGCGTATGGAGTGTCAAATAAACTTACCACTCAATCTCTCCGATGTCACATACAAAACACATATAACTATGTACAACAGACCAGGGCATGGTTATCTGTTCATATAATACCTCTCTCTCCATCTCTGTGTCTCTGTCTCTGTGTGTGTGTGTGTGTGTGTGTGTGTGTGTGTGTGTCTCTCTCTCTCTCTCTCTCTCTCTCTCTCTCTCTCTCTCTCTCTCTCTCTCTCTCTCACACATGACTGAACTGAACTGAAGTTGATTACCGTTAGTAACTTCTGTGTGGCTTTGGTGTTACCGATTCCTGTGGGAGTTCCCTATCACCAATTACATATAACAATCGAACCGATCCATCACAAATGCATTTATTTATTGACAGCTAAACATGATAGTGGTACAGCCGAGGGACCTCGTGATGTAGACTACAATTGAAGGATGGATTCAAATTGTCGGTTTACAAATACAGAACAGTGGTATCGTGAAACGTGACAGAGACAAAGTCGATGGGTGAAACGTGACTAAAGATTAAGAGGAGGTCTGAATCAGGACATTGATTCGGCGGTCTAAATATGACAGATTAAGACAAGAGTTAAGATGTGATCGAGACGAAGGAAAGAGCTTGATCAATACTAAAGGAAAGGGATGAAGCATAGCAGAGGTAAGGATGAGATGTTAAACGAGGCAAAATAAAGGCAAAAGAAGAAAGAATCGTGGCAGATATTTCAACACTTGGTGACTATTCAAAGAGACAAGGACTAGAAGGAAACGTAAACGGAATGCACGAGTGAGGAAACATAAAAGAAGAGGGGGTTTACCGTATGTAAGGAAAGAGGATAAATCCTAAACAAACGAACGAGAAAAATGTTGTTGAATGACGTGGAAAGAAATGTAACAGGCATTCAATTAAATGACAAAAATTAACATTGGTGAATATGAAAAGTGAAACGTCGCAAGTAAAAGTTTCACACGTATAAAGAATATGGCGGAACATGAGACAAAGCACCCAAAAAGAGTCATTTAATTGAAACTAATGAAGGAATTTTGTGTCTTTCCTTTATGAGGATTGTTTCAAACTAAAACAGAAGTGGATATTTTTACAATAAAGAGGAAAATCTGAAATCAATACTGTATCGAGTGAAGACCGAAGTCTCAAATGAAATATTAATTGTGTTTTGCCTAGACTATCAACGATTAAGTAGTATGGAGATGGGTTCGAGTGGACTGTTACTGGTGATGTTACTCCATGTCTCCATGGGTAAGTATTATTGACTCTTGTGTCACTGGTTATAACTTTTCTCAAATTTATACAATATTATTAAAATAGCCTTATTTATAAGTATAAGGATTTAATTAATTCCAGTGTAATTCTGGCCATTTTGTAGTACGAACAGAGCTGTTGTACGTTTAGCATTTTCAATGTTTTTCTTTCGCAGAAGTATTTACTTTTTACAGTATTATTAACCCTGGAGTTTTAACCCATCATCATCATCATCATCATCATCATCATCATCATCATTCTAAATTTCTTCTTAGGGTTGATAAATATGGATTTTTTTGAAAAGTTCTTTTTACACAACCAATAGGAATTTCTATGTGACGTTTCGATGACTAGTATGGTATGTTAACTGTCGCCTTCATCAGACAAATGATCAGTGAAGCGTATGCACACAAAAGTGTAAAAAACGTGTAAGTGTTGTCCACAAAATCGATGTCGGTTCGTCTACGCCGTAGGCGTTTTACAATAGTTGTTCTATATGAACCGAAATGACTCGATTCAGCTACGCTTTTTTAATACTTTAACCTAGATGTGCGAGAGTCTTTAAGCCCCCTTATCTCGATTTAGAACTGGCCCACTTCTGCGTATCCAAATGGTTTCCTTTAACTGCCGCTTGAACTGATTGCTCTCTCTGTCCAAAACTTTGGAGGCATCCCATTCAATCACATGCTTTTTTCTGATCTGGTGAAGTTCCTACCTTCTTGGGTTTTCGTATCTTTCCGGTGTTCACCAAGGCGGATCCCTAATCGCCTTCCAGCCACTCTAATATACGATGCGTCGCAGTTTTTTCATCCGATTTTGTATACGCATTCTACGACTTTTTCTTTAGGTGTTTTATCCTTATGGTGTACTAGGATATTCACGTGGGGCTTCATGACTGTTGCTATGCCATGACCGCGATATATCCTCTAGATGGTTTCGGATATACCCTTTATATATGGAATGACTACTTGGCTTTGGTTTTGTTCTATCCTTGTTTGGCCTTTTCTTGTTCTTTCCCTTACTTTGACACTGTTTTTGTACCCGTTTTAGGGCCAGTTCCGGAAATGCGCATGTTCTCATTGCCCTAGCGATGTGATTCTGCTCTTGTTTTTGTCCTGTTGTTCTGTGACTCTAGTATCACATCTGTTGAGCAATGTGCGTACGACGCCTAACAATCAACATCATCATCACCCGTCCAATGAGTTTCATCAGCAGCACAATAGATATTGTTATCAGTGCTATTCGTATCAACTCGATTGATAACAGTATAATTCTATTATCAACACAGCATCACCAATCTACACAATAAATATCATCATCTGCACCATAAGAGTAACTGCATAATACCCACTATATATGTACTGTGTAATTTCTTGATAACATTCCCATTCTATTTTTACCTAGAAGAGTAAATGCATTGCTCAATTATTAAAACTATTTTGTTGCTACTCTGATTAAGTCGTTCTGTTTATGAAAACAATTCTAATATGAAAATGATTATATTATACTGAAAGGGAATTAGCAATGCATCTAAATCAATATTAACATTTTGCATAACGACTTTCCCCTATTAAAAGGAACACAGTTTCTTCAACTTGATTACAAAAAGTACAAAGAGTTTTAACGTTTATAATAAAACGCATATTCGATTGTTTTCAACGACTCTCTGCAAAGCAAGTCACGCACAAAGAGTATAAAGACAACTATGTTGGATATTTGGATGGATGATTAGAACCAGGACAAACCTAGACAATTACTTACTAGATATTTCATTATAACAGTGACTATCTACGACGACAGAAAACATGGCATATCATTGAAACCCCGATCCAACCTTCTGTTTATTTTATCGTCTGGGAGAGTTGGCATATATAGTTTATATAGGAAATGAATATGTGTTTATCGATTGAAATCGAACGCTTCAATCCTCTTCAGAATTCCATTGAGTGAATTATTGATACAGAAACTAAATCTCCATTTGAAATTTCGAAATTGCGACATTAATCTTTCAAGCATGGTTTTATAGCACAATTTTAAAATCTAATGTTGTTTATCGATTTCATTTCATGAAATAAGCTGGTTACCAATAAGAGATTATAGCATGTCGAATGCAAATGAACTATCCCCTGTTTGTTAGGTAGGTTGAGCTGATAAAATGATGCTTAAATTATATAATGATCAACTCAAACCCTTGTTTAAGCTTTCATCACAATGTGATACAATAATACAAAAATGAAATAATATATATGTGTATTACAAAACTGTAATGTAAACAGTGTTTAAGCACTTAAGATACTTTTCATAGGTGTTTATTTTGAAGAAGGTCGTGAAATACAGTCAAACCTGCTTGAGCGGTCACCTGAAATAAGCAGCCACCTCCTCTATGTGGTCAGTCTGTGGTCCACACGATAGATAAAAAACTATATAATGAACCTGAATAAGCAGCCACCTGTCTAATGCGGCCAGCAGTCACAAAACTCTGGCCCGAGACGTTATCTCCACCTGTATTCAGCGGTCATTTTGTCCAGAAATTGACATCAAGAAGATCATAATATATTAACAAGAACACATCTCAATAGAGCAAAGCTAATACCAATGTGTAATTAAAAACCATAGGTTATAAGGTTTGCCACGTTGAATTGACAAGTTGTTTACACAGCGATTTTCAGCTTGCAAATTAGGGCAGGTCCTACCGACCCATCAACAATGTTTTACAAACAAAACAATTATTCCCACCTTGTGTACTCAATCAGCTTGTGATTTTCAAAACAAGTATGATCTTTTGTGGTATCTGTACATACTTGATTCAAAGCTACTCAGGCATAATATGTTGTTTTTTTTCATAACTGTGTCCTGATTTATTTCTATAATATACTTAATTGGTTTGTAATAGCTGTGCGAGATCAGGACATTAGTGTTAACCTTTCCATACGGCGCATGGGTGCTGAGAATAAACCGTTACAATAAGTTGAAAGCTCAAAGATTCTTGCAAAGTTCTAGATTTATTGAGTGATTGATATATAAGTGATGAATTAACTAAATACTGATATATCATTTCATTAGAAAATTATTTGAACCACATAGATCAGAATACATAGCAATGCAGATTTTCATTAAAAGTAGATCTACATGTAGATTCCAGTACTGGTGGTTGTCTGCTATCAAAAAAACGTATGTGGAACACGTGAGTAGCCAAACAAAAATAAATTCATCATTTCAAGAAATTAATCACCAAAACGTCTTTGTATTTTGTTGATTATGCATTTATATTCAAGTATGAAATCGTACCCCTGTTGATGAAGCGAGAAAAAATCAAAATAACATAGCAGCCTATATTGCCGGGAAAATGTCCTTATAACCCGTGGATGTATGAAAACTTGGTTGTGATTTTCGAGTGAGCCTGGTTTTAGCAGCCACCTATCTTAAGCGGCAAATTTCTGCCGTTCCCTTGGGTGGCATCTTAATACAGGTTTGACTACAGTGCTATCCTAATTAAAATGCACAAGAAGTCTTGACGCTTGTAATTGTGACGTCACAATACACGAATACCATTAACCCGTGTCTTAACTAGCATTGGTAAGTACGGCAGATAACTTGTCAACAAAATATAGTTCCTACAGTGTAATTAACGGGTTGAATTACTAACGTCATACTCATTTGGAAATAATAAGCTCCGACTCCTTTGTTACCGTGCTTTTTAAGTATATCAACCGATTACATTTGGTATACAGGAATAACCGGTTATTGCGCACTCCCATTATTTTAAACAAAGCAATTAATCAAATGACTAATATCTAATTACTCAAAATGAAATAAAAGATGAAATTACTGAACTTCTGTTATGAGGAACGAACTAATAACGCGACCTACAAATCTAACAACGGGAGTGATTTGTAAATTAAGATTGTTATATTACATGATATGGACATAGAGGCAAGTTATTGACTGCATCCATCGTCTATCCTGTTAAATATTGTTAAATCTCCCATTATGTAAAATGAAGTAAAAGATAAAATCACTAACTTCTTGTTGTATTAAATTAAGTAACATCTCAAATTACTAACCTGTGGTATAGAATGGAGTTATATGAAATTACTAACCTATTATAAAAAATGGAGAAATATTTCAAATCACTAACAACTTACAGTATATGAAATTGAGAAATATATCAAAACACTTACCTCTTATTGTATGAAATAAAGAAATATATCAAATTACTGTCCTTTTATTTAAAATGGTGAAATATATCAACTATTATATAAATAGAAGTAATAGATCGAATCACTACACTCAATTGTATATTGAAGTTATATATCAAATCACTAACCTCCTATTGTATAAAATGAAGTACCAGATTACATAAATAATCCCCTGTAATGTAAAATGTAGTTATAAATCAAAGAACTTTCTTCACTTCATTTAAAATACACTATATTACTTTTATCACATTATGAAAGGTTTGCGGTTGCGTTTCAAATCGATATACAGTTCATGTTATGCGTTGATCTGAAACCTTTGGATTTAACTGATTTCATTGTGTAAATAAAGTGAAGTGGTTTATATTAACATATGACGTGTACCAGCTATCCTTGCAACCGTTTACTATAGGTTTAGATAGAAATTATATCAATCATGTTGTACGTTTTATTTTAAATGTATCGATCCGCCTATATCTGACTGCTACTGTGGAAATGGTTTATTTAGTAGAAGATTCATTTTCATAATTAAAGTGATAAAGTGGAACCATTAATCTAATAATGCAATTTATAAACCACTTTACCTCCGGCGCTATTTCATGAAGAAGGTCATTAAGGTGCTATTACCAATAATTTGTTAGTTATTTTTATGGATGCATTTAATGTAGATACATTTTTTTACAGTTACAATTGTTTTCATTTGAGTATTTGGAATCAAAAATAAAAACAAAACAGAACTTCTAGTGGTCAAACTTAAAATTTATTGATGTCCGATTCTTACACTTTACAAATGTTGCTACT